CAGGGATGTTACACAGAGAAACCTGTCTCGGAAAAAAAACAAAACAAAACAGGTGGGAATGAAAAACTCAAATGAATGAACTAATAAGCCAAGCATTATGGTAAGTACCTGTAATCCTAACACTCAGGAAGTATAGGTAGGAGAATTGGAAGTTCAAGGTAGTCCTCAACATAGCAAGACTGAATGCCTGGGCTACATGAGACCCTTTAACACATGATGATGATGATGATGATGATGATGATGATGATGATAAAAGCACAACCGATAGACTAGACAAAGCAGAACAAAGAATATCAAGGATAGAGGAAAAGATCAAGAAAATACCACAAGCAGACATCAATGAACAACAACAAAAAATGGGCATGACCACAGCTCCAGAACTCTGGAATATGATCAAGAACCAAACCTACAGTCAGGCATGACGGTGCAGTATGAAGACTAAGGAAAGGGGTTGCTGTTATTGGAGACCAACCTGAGGTACATAGGAAGACCCTATGTCTCAAAAACAACAACTATGGAACGATAAAATAACATTTAAATCAAAGAAAGGAGACAAATACCTAAGAAAACATGGAGTAGTAGAAGGAGCCGAGATTAAAAACTAAAGGCACAGAAAAATCAATGAAATTACACTAGAAAATTTTCCCAAATGTAGAGAAATAAATGGACATCTAAGAACAAGAGATACTTAGAAACTAAAAAAGAAAAGACCTCTCCATAGTACATAAGAGGATACCCAAAAAACACAAGAACTGTAAGAAAAATGCGAACTCACTAAGATAAATATTATCAAAAGAACATTAAGCCTCTCAACAGAAACCCTTAAAAGCCAGGAAATCATGGGATGATTATATTTCAAGTCTTGAAAGTAAATAACTGCCAACCAAGATTGCTATACCCAGCAGTTAGAATTGCATGCCCCACACACATTTTTAAAAGTTAAAAATTTTCTGTGTTGTGGTGGTATATACCTTCAATCACAGCACTCAGGAAACAAAGGCAGACAGATCTCTGTGAGTTATAGACCAACCTGATCTTAAACTGATTTCCAGCCCAGTTTGGGCTACATAGTATGACCTCAAAAAAAATTAAAAATTGACAGAGAAATAAGGAAATTTTAAGATGTTCATAAACTAAAGCAATTCCTGATTACCAAACCAGCATTGTTAGGATTCTGTACATGTGTAGCTCGGGGTCATATGTCTTACGTCTTACATCATCAGTGGGCACTGGCAATTACATACCCACCGCTTGGTCACACAATCCCCGCCTTAAAAAGCCAGACTCGGACCCCCACACTCTCTGTGTTCTCCCTCTGCTCCCGCCATCTTCCTCTGTCCTATCCCCTCTTTCTTTCTAATAAAGCTCTTTATATCTCTGGTAGGCATGGCCATGGCCCCTGACTTTTCTGCCAGTAACCAGCACTGCCACCAGTGCCGTTTATCATAACCATCAAACATTGCAAAAAATACACAAAGAAGTCATAAACAGGAGGAAGAAAGGCAGTCCTAATCATAGAGCACACAAAAGAATATATTTCATGAAAAGAATAAACGAGCTGGGTGGTGGTGGTACACACCTTTAATCCCAGCACTTAGGAGACAGAGACAGGAGACTCTCTGAGTTTGAGGCTAGCCTAGTCTACAGAGTGAGTTGTAGGACAGCCAGGGTTACACAGAGAAACCCTATCTGGAAGAAAAAAAGAAAAAAGAATGAATGAGCAAAGGAGAACTAGGGAAGAATCCATCATGTTGGTGAGGCTACCAAAAAAAAAAAAAAAAGACACAGACTAGACGTCTATCGTTTCTAAGAAAACTCACAGGCAAAGAAACTGAGATAAAATTTACCAAGCAAATAGATCTGAAAGCAAGCTGACATAGCAATTCTGATATCTAATAAAGTAGACAAAGCCAAAATTAGTTAGAAGACATAAAGAAAGCTAGTATATACTAACAAAAGGAATAATTCATAAAGAAGATATAGGGCTGGAGAGATGGCTCAGTAGTTAAGAGTGTGTACTGCTCTTCCAGAAGATCCAACTTTTATCCCCAGCATCCACATCAGGAGGCTTATGATTACCTGTAGCTATAGATCTAGTGGACTCAATGTCTCTGGCCTCCATGGGCACTTGCACTCACTTGCACATGCATACTGACACACATACATATTATTTAAAATAAGGGGTTAGGGATTTAGCTCAGTGGTAGAGCGCTTGCCTATCAAATGCAAGGCCCTGGGTTCGGTCTTCAGCTCTGAACAGAAAAAAAAAAAAAAAAAAAAAAAGACAAAACATTAAAATAAAATAAATATTTGGGGGGAAATGAAGATATTACAAAAAAAATTTAAAAATAGTTCAAGCCGGCCGGGCGGTGGTGGCGCACGCCTTTAATCCCAGCACTCGGGAGGCAGAGCCAGGCGGATCTCTGTGAGTTCGAGGCCAGCCTGGGCTACCAAGTGAGTCCCAGGAAAGGCGCAAAGCTACACAGAGAAACCCTATCGAAAAACCAAAAGAAAACCAAAAAAAAAAAAAAAAAAAAAAAAATAGTTCAAGCCATAATCCCAGCACTTGGAATTCTGAAGACAGGAAGATTGCCATGAGTTCAAGGCCATCCTAGGATACATAGCAAGTTCCAAACCATCCTGGACTACAAAGTAAATCTTGTCAAAAGAGAGAGAAGGTGGGAAGAAGGGAGGGAGAGAACAAAATTAAAACGATAACATTGTAAATACATATGGACCAAACATTGAAGCTTTCAACTTGATAAAATTAACACCAATGGACATAAAAGAACATATTGCTCCTGATGCAATAATGGAATAGTGGGCAGTTTCATCAATAGATACGCATTGACTAAAACTCAACCAAGGAACTTCAGGGTTAAACTGTACCATAGATCTAATGGGCTTAATACGTATGTATAAACAGTTTCCATCCAACATCTAAAGAGTCAGCAGCAGCCCATGCAACTTCCTCTAAAATAGATTATATTTTAGGTCTAACAAGTACAAAATTGAAATAACTATTTCTCCTATCAGATCACAGTAGAATAAAACTAGAAACCAATAACAAGAAAAACCACAAATATTGTGTGGATACTTGGATAGTGAACAGTAGATTCTTGTAGGAACAATGGGTCATTGAAGAAAAACAAGGAAGAAGTTTTAAGAATTCCCTGAATCAGTGCTGGGGGCAGATAGCTTAGCAGATAAGAGAGGACACTGTTCTTACATAGGATCCAAGTACAGTTCCCAGCCTCCATATTTGGCCACTTACAACTTCCTGTAAATCCAGCCCCTGAGGGATCTGATGCCTCTGGTCTCTGTTGAATACACACAGAAGCATGATTAAAATAAATATTTTTAAAAAAGAATTCCTATAATCAAATGAAAATGAAAGCACAACTTACCAGAACCTAAGGTAGTTTAATCTATGCGTGCTTATATTAAAAAAGTTGAGAGCATGGTAGTGCATGCTTGTAATCTTAGTGCCTTGGAGGTGGAAGGAACCCTGAGGGTCAGGAGTTCAAGACCAACTTTGACTACAGTAAGGAGTTTGAGGCCAGCCTGGGCTACATGAGAGCCTGTCTCAAAAAAAGTTGAGTTCAAATAAATAGTTTAGTGATACATCTCAAGATCTTAGAAAAGTAAGAACAAGCCAAAGCCCAAAGCAGTAAACCGCAATAGTCAGTTCAAGGCAAAACCTTAGCACAGTGGTTCATGCCTGTCATCTCAGCACTCAGGAGGCTGAGGCAGTCAGCTTATGAGTTTAAGGCCAGCCTAGCCTACACAGTTGCAGGTTAACCAGAGTTACAGTATAAACCCTGTCTCAATCAAACAAAAAACAACAAAACCTATATTCTAAGACAAGACTATAAAGTCTAGACACTCAACAGTGTCACTGTCTAGCAGATACTAAAATACAAAATACAAAACTATATACACCAAGAAGCAAGATAACAACAAAAACTAAAAGGAGAGAAATCAGTCAACAGACAGAATTGATGGATAATACTGATAAAATTATTATTATATTCAGATACTTAAAATAAGGAAAGGAAGGCATAAAAAAAAGAAAACAAGTACTTTTTAGAGTTGAAAAAATACAACATAGACCCAACAAAATAGCTCGGTGGGTAAAGGTGCTTACTACCAAGCCTGGCAACCTGAGTTCAATCCCCAGGTCCCTCATGGTGGAAGGAGAGAACCTAATCCTTATAATTGTCTTCTGACCTCCACACACACACACACACACACACACACACACACAGACACACACACAGTAAATAAGCAATCTTTAAAAAAGAAAATACACCAGGCGGTGGTGGCACATGCCTTTAACCCCAGTACTCGGGAGACAGAGCCAGGCGGATCTCTGGGAGTTCGAGGCCAGCCTAGTCTACAGAGCGAGATCCAGGACAGGCACCAAAACTACACAGAGAAACCCTGTCTCGAAAAATCAACAAAGAAAAGAAAAAGAAAAATACAACACATGAAAAGTTTAGTATCGCAGTTACCCTCAACCAAAGCGAGTGCTCACAGAGAAAAAAAAAAAGATGATAAAATGCCTTTTATAGCAAAAAACAATCAGACTGCAACCCACAGAACCAGGGAGGCTACATAGCAGGGGGGACTGTGGCTTATAATAAGTTTTGGTTTTACTCAATCACTGGGCAAGCCTTGGTGAAACATTTCACTATTAGGATAAGAATTTGTACTCTATCAAGCTGATAATAGAATAAATGAATGAATGAATGAATAAAAATGTAAAAAAATGCCTTTTATGACATTAGGTTATTACATTTTGTTGTTTGTTTTCGTGCTAGGGATGAAACCCAGAGCTTTGGGCATGCTATTCCAACACTCTGCCACTGAACTACATCCCCATCCAACACCTTAGTTGTCTATTGAATGATAAGTAACCACAAACTCGTGGCTTACACCCAACAAATTTCTTATCTCCTGCAGAAGCTTACACCCAACAAATTTCTTATCTCCTGCAGAAGTCTGGCCTGGCTGTAATGCTGGAAGGAACGGTTCTATGGACAGATGAAGGTGGTGATGAGGCAAAGCCTGCGACCAACAACCGGTCTACGTTTGCCAGGCATGTGCATGTGTCATGTTGAAAGTCCAGTCTTCAGCCCTGCCCTGACTACCATCTTGATTGCAATGTCTAAGAAACGTTGGATTCAGTCTAAGCCACTGCTGGATTCTTGGCCACAGAAACTGTGAGAAAATGTTCAAGCTATAGAATCTTTTTTTTTTAAAAGATTTATTTATTTATTACATATACAGCATGTTTGCCTGCAAGCCAGAAGAGGGCATCATTACAGATGGTTGTGAGCCACCATGTGGTTGCTGGGAATTGAACTCAGAACCTCTGGAAGAACAGTCAGTGCTCTTAACCTCTGAGCCATCTCTCCAGCCCCTAAGCTATAGAATCTTAAATGATTCATCTCCTGATAGTGGATAGCTAATACAAGATTATCTTCAACAAATGGCTGTGGGACAGCTGGATAGCCATTTATATGTATATGTATATGTATATGTATATGTATATGTATATGTATATGTATATGTATATGATGTATACGTGTGTATGTGTTTATAAATGAAGCCAGGCATGGTGACGCATACCAGCCCTCAGGAGGCTGAGGCCAGACTGAGTTGTTCAGAGTGAGCTCCAGGCCATTGTAGAACACAGATCAAGAATTGTTTCAAAATAATGATAATGTTAATAATGAAAGAGAGGGGCTTGGGACGTAGCTCAGTTGGTGGAATGCTTGCCTAGTATGCATGTGGCCTTGGGTTAAACCCCCGGTAAAACAGGGTATTGTGGTACATTCCTGTAAGCACAGCACTTGGGAGGTGCAGTCAGGAGTCAGGAGGTTAAGGTCATCCTTGACTACAAAGTTAGAGAGCAGCTTGGCTCCAAGAGATCTTGAATCAAAAGCAAGTACAGCTTAAGTGGCCATGCACCAACAGGGATGAAGTGACTCAGACACAGGCTGGAGTCAGACTTAGTGGGGTTTGCTCGTAATCCCAACACTTAAGAGGTGGAGACAAAAGGATTAGGAGTTCAAAGTCAGCCTCAGCTATACAGTGAGCTTGAGGCCTGTCTCAAAAGAAAAAAACCAAACAAACAAAAAGACTAAGCCAAATGAGTCAGATAGGGTAAAGTACATTGTGTATGGTTCATCCAGCCGAAATTTTACAATAGATTAACCCAGAGTAAAAAGCAAAATAAAGATTACATGGGACTGTGAGCAGAAAGCAGAAAGAGAAGATTTACAAATGACAAAATAAAACTTTGGGGAATGATGAAAATATTCTATACTTTGATTGTGGCTATTCAAATTGTAAATATGTATTTGTTGAGACTTACTAAGCTCTATACTTAAAATACTGAGCCAGGTGTGGCTGTGGGCATTAGTAGTCTCAGTTGCTCTAGAAACAGCCTACACAACCTAAAGAAACCCTGTTTCAAAAATATGAATAAATAGGATCTAGTTTAAACAATAGAATACTCAGGGCTGGAGAGATGGCTCAGGGGTTAAGAACACTGGCTGCTCTTCCAGAGGACCTGGGTTTGGTTCCTCAGCACCCACATGGCAGCTGACTCCAGTTCAACAGGATCCATCACCCCTCTGTTTTCCGAGATCTCCACAAACATGTGGTACACAGAACATGCAGGCCAAACACCCATATTCTAGACATAGGATCTTGCTATTGTTTGTTGACCAGCCTAGTCTTGAGCTCCTGAATGGACTCAAGTTATCAACCTGCCTCAACCTGCTGAAAAGATTTTATAAAAACTGGAAAGGAAAAACAAACAAACAAACAAACAAACAAAAACCAGCTAAGCTTACATCCTAAATCTTGACAGGCTGAGGCAGGAAGATTGTATATCTGAGATTATCCCAGGCTATACAGTGAGAACCAATTTTCAAAAAACAAAAATAATCCTGTGAAACAAATGTACCTATCTAGTAGTTGGCTTTAATTTTATTTTTTAAACATGTCCTTAAACTCTCTATGTAGTTGAAGATGACCAAAGATGCTCTTAAACTTCTGACCCTCCAGCCTGTAACTTCTGAGTCTTTGTTGTTAGAAAGCTGGGATTACAGGAGTACCCATATCACTTAGTTTAGATGTAGCTGAAGTTTCTCTGTACCACCTGGCCCCACAGTCACACAGCCACTTATAAAATAATCATTTAGAGGCTTAATATTAATTACAAACTGTATGGCCTATGGCTCAGGCTTCTTGCTAGCTAGCTCGTATAACTTAATTCAACCCATTACTTTTGTTTGTTTGTTTTTTCGAGACAGGGTTTCTCTGTGTAACAGCCCTGGCTGTCCTGGAACTCACTCTGTAGACCAGGCTAGCCTCAAACTCACAAAGATCTGCCTGGCTCTGCCTCCCGAGTGCTGGGATTAAAGGTGTGCACCACCACCGCCCAGCTTCAACCCATTACTATTAATCTAAGTATTGCCACATATTCTGTGGCTTTACCTGTGTCCCATTACATCTGAGTTGTTCCTTGGATGGTGGGTTGGCATCTCCCCACATCTCACCTTTCTCTTTTCTGTCTCTCTCTTTGGATTTCCCAGCTGCCTCTAAGCTGCCTTGCCATAGGCCAACGCAGATTATTTATCAATGGGAACAACACATATTCACAGCATACAGAAAGACATCCCACAGCACTTACACTTCTCTATCTAATCAAAAAGGAAGGTTTGCTGGGTGGTGGTGGTGGCGGCGGCGGGCGGCGGCGGCGGCGGCGGCGGCGGCGGCGGCGGCGCACGCCTTTAATCCCAGCACCCGGGAGGCAGAGCCAGGCAGATCTCTGTGAGTTGGAGGCCAGCCTGGTCTACTGAGCGAGATCCAGGAAAAGCGCAAAGCTACACAGAGAAACCCTGTCTCGAAAAAAAAAAAAGCGGGGGGGGGGGGGGGGGGGGGGGAAGGTTTTAACTTTGACATAGTAAAATTACATATAACAAAATAGTTATCAAGTAAGAATTACAGTTGCAATATCTAGTCTATTTGTATTTGGCAAAATTAAAGAAAAATTTTTATCCTCTATCCTATTTTTGTGAGTCTAAAGTTTTATATCTAGTTTATCTTTTACCATAACCAAGGAAAACTATAATTATAACTATCTAGTCTTCAATTGCACCAAAGACCCCAGAAGGATATAATATATTACCTTAGTAAACAGGAAGTGTATTGCAAGCAACTTCCAAAATTCTAGAAATTACAGAGATATCTGTCACCCAAAGTTCCTCTGCAAGGTTGAGGCATCCATCTTCAGCCTAAAGGCCTAGAGTCTCTGACATACTTTTCAGGGAAGCAGGAAATTTGAAGGACTGTTTCCTCTATTGGCAAAGTTCATCAGTCACTTTCTTCTGTGTCCTGCAGAATGTCTGGCAGTATCTTTTGTGAAGCAGGAACCTTCTGACTACATTTAGATGGTATTGGGGATCAAACCCAGAGGTTGGTGCTTGTAGGCAAGCACTCTACCAGCTGAGCTACATCCCTTCTCATAACCTCAAATTTCAGAACTACTTAGTCATGTCTCTCTCCCCCAGTTTGACAGACAGCTCCCTAAGGACAAAGACTGGGCTTGTGTTGTGTGACTGCTATTGAGACATGAAAATGTCTATTCATTCTGGTTAAGGCTACTATGTCTAACCAAAGAAATGATTCTACCCAAGCCTAACTTGGTGAACCAATGAATTTATGGTGGTTACTTACAGGAGCATGGTCAATTCAGAGGTAGATCCATTACCAGAAAGCCCTACCACATCATGTGTGATGATTCACAAAAACTGCAGCCCTGGTCCCCTCTGTCCATCCTAAAGGCAACTTCTACCAGAGAGTTCCTTTCCCACAGCAATTATTTGCCTCTTATGTAACAGGGTCTTTCTGTGTAGCTCTGGCTGTCCCTGGAACTCACTCTATAGACCAGGCTGGCCTCAAACTCAGAGATCTGCCTGCCTATGCTTGCTGAGTGCTGGAATTAAAAGTGTGCTCCACCATGCCTGGCCCACATGTGAGTTTTAAAAGTTTCTTGAACCTGTTAAGTTTCCTTATCTTCCTGAGTCTTGTGAGCCTCCCTCCTTCCTATGAGAGGGAGGGTTCTCTCTTGTCTTTTTTCTCTTCCCTTCTTTTCACTTCCCTTCCCTTTCATATATATATATATATATATATATATATATATATATATATATATATTCTCTCTCTCTCTCTGACAAGATCTCATGTAACACAGATTGGTCTCAACTATGTAGTTGGGGGTGACCTTAAATTCCTGACCATCTGCTTCTTCCATCCAAGTGCTAGGGTTACAGTAATGTGCCCCACACCTGGTTCAGAAGCTAATGTTTCAATTTGTAGGACATAGCTCTACAACAGTCTACCCCTTCCTACAGCTCTTTCATCCTTTCTATCACCTCTTCTTCAATGTTTCCTGAGCCTGGAGGGGGTGATATGGATGTCTGAGGATTTTCCTTCACTTATGGCTTTGCATTGGGACCCTCTGTCATAGCTACAGTCACTTATTCACAATAGCTTGCCTGGTTCTAAGTCTCTGTAGTAACCATCAACCACTGTGAAAATGTTTTCCTCTATGAAGAACCTGATAGCAGCAGCAATCTATGGCATAAACAGATTTAGACATACCATATCTGTTTAGCAAACAGTAATTTCCCTACTAGGACCTATGACCTTCCCTTGTTACATGTTTTTATTTTGGCTTACAGTACCTGGCTTGTTTTATGTCAACTCGACACAAGCCAGAATCCTTAGGGACCAGGGAACTTCAATTGAGAAAATTACACCAACGAGGTTGGCCTGCTGGGCAAGCCTGTGGTGCATTTTCTTGACTGGTGATTAATAAATCTGGGAGGGACCAGCTCACTGTGGGCAGTGCCACCCCTGGGCTGGTGGTCCTGGGAGCTATAAGAAAGCAGGTTGAACAAGCCAGTATACGGCACCCCTCCGTGGCCTCTGTATCAGCTCCTGCCTCCAGGTTCCTGCCTTGAGTTCCTTCCCTGACTTCCTTTCATATGATGGACTGTTTTTGGGACCTAGAGATTGAAATAAACTCTCTCCTTCCCAAGTTGCTTTTGTTCATGGTGTTTTATCATAGCAATAGAAATACTAAGACACTACCAAATGTGATTTTCCTCCTGTGGCATGAATGAACCTTAGGTCCACTTGGAAA